TGAACCAGAAATGGCCATTTCAGTCTTTCATATTTCAGCTGTACAGTTTCCGGCTCCTTTATCGACCCCATGACGGAAAGTACGTAGATGCACACACTTGTTTCAGAAAAGTTTCTGGTCGTCAGCAATGATCTTTACTCTTTCTCATAACAGGACACTGCTTTTCAAATTCAGGATTAAACCCTCAGCTGTTACTCTGGGTCTGAATCTCAGGCCAAATAACTCAAAGATCCCTGGATCTCGGAGTAATTACATAGAAACTGAAAACTTTTGGATCGCACTCCATTACGTCGTAAAAGCTCGTCGGTACAAAAAGTCTACACTCCACGAGCACTGAAAACAATAGCATGTGACAAAAAAGTCTGCATATTGTGTTTGAGCATATAAGGAAGTAGGTTTTAGCCCATTGTCCACATAAATACTTCTTCCGTCCAAACTCTCTCCGTAGCCATACTTGTAGCATCAGATTAAGTAAAAAATAACCTCCAGTGTGCTACTGTTGAACGAACCGTCACATTAAAACACTCAAAAGCTCACCTAGAATATTCAAGACTTGACATATGCTCATGGAGGTCGTGAAACGACAATCTCTTAGAAATTGCCAGAATTGCATTCTCTGTAAAAGTTGTGTATTGTCCGCAGTTCTGTCCACACCCAGACCGGCGTAGAATTTATAAGTATGGCGCAAGATCTTCAGGGAGGCGAACAAGCCATTTCTCATCTGTCAATAAACAAGAAAAATAGTTCTTATTCTTATCTAGTCAGATTGGCAATTTCAGTGTCCGAAGTCTGTTAGCAAACTTAATTTATTGAAGGCCAGGCTGCGCGCGTTTCGAATTTGGTTTCAAATGTTCGCTCTCCGAGGAATTTAGTTACTTCGAGATTTGGACTTACTGTACGCTCTTACAGCTTGCCGGAATTTAGACTTGAATTCGACTCATCAATATCTTCCTCCCAACTAGTCTCCTGCAGCACATTCCCAGAACTCCGATTTCGGCCTTCCTCGTTTCTCATACTTGCAAGCCCAGAAAGTCGGATTATCTGAAGAACAATTTATCCAAAGTTTCTACAAAGGCTGAGTCGCTTTTCTACTATTAGACATTGTTTCATCATCGCCTCAAAGTATTTGTCTAAATTTTTGCTCTCGGAAGCTTCTCGACCATACCTTCCCATTCAGCTAACGAAGTTACTATCTACCGAAAGATCGTCATAAAGGCCTTTCCTTCATACTTAAGTCTACGCTCTTTGTGTATATAGAAAAGTTATCCAGAATGTTGGAGTCTGCACTAGTGTTCCAAAGTAACGCGCACTTGGGATTTGAACCGGGGACCTCAAAACTTAGGGCTCGCTCCGCTAACCCCTACACCACCGACGCAAGGTTGGGCAGCTCAGTTAAAAGCTTTGTTAATTCGTCACCGCAGGATCTGGTAGGATATTCATGTAATGGTTGTCAAACGATAGCCTACAAGATGCATCAACTAGAGGAAGAAGTAAGCAATCTGAAGGAACTTATACACAAGACCGTTCCTTCAGAGGACCGCCCGGTGTTATCTACGCAGAGGCTAACTCGGAGTAGAGCGAGAGCCATCCAGCGTAAGGAATCCCCAGAAAGCAATTATGGGGTGAATAAGACAACTACTATTAGTAATCAAGTCGTGGCTTCCGATGAAAAAAAGAATAAGAGGAAGAAGACGACACTTAACACCACAGGGAAAAGTCGCCAGAATACGAAAGAGAGTATATTAGCCTTACCCGAAAAGCGGTTGGAAAATGAAACGAATGTAAATGTGCCAACGGAAGAAGTGGAAGAAATGGGGCAGATGACGCCCAATCTTAATAATTCCCAGACAGTGTTCTCATTTCCTGAGCCTAACTTAGAGGGATTATCAGTTAGCGCAAAGACATATGGCTATGGACCCAGGGTGGAATTAGCTGCCACCGCGAATTCCCATGTCAACAGAGTCAAGAACCGAGCTGAGGAAGCCTCTAATTCATGGGGGTCCAGCTCTCCACAGAGCCCTCTGATGGGAGGTATTGTTGATAGATCCCAGTGTGCAACTATTCACGATGCCTTAACAAGATCCGCGGACGAACTTCACGGGGACATAAATACCAATATGGCAGCCCCTTCCTCTTCTCCAGTCCACTTCGACGAGGCAATAGGGCCAGCCAACGACGTCCAAATCGCAGAAAACAGAGGAATGCTTAACAAGGACCACTGTGTCATAATTCAGGGCCTCGCAGAGTCCTCCGCCAGTTCCCCCAGGGAACGAATCGCTGCTGACTTAGAGCAATTCCAGAAACTCCTCAATGAAATGCTGCAACCAACAGAAGATGTCACAGTCCTAAAGGCGTTTCGTCTTGGTAGCCGTACAAATGCCGCTCCGAAGACGCGACCACGACCCCTAAAAATCGTCCTTGGTAGCAATGAGCAGGCGAAACTAATACTTTTCAGGCGTTTTCGATTGAAGCATTCCCATAAAGGAGTGTTTTTTCAGGCGGACTACTCACCTGCCGAGAGAATGAAACTCCGCGAACTTGTCCTAGAATTGAGAACACAGCAAACCAACGGAGAGAAAAACTTGACAATCTACAAAGACCGGATTGTCAAACGACATTCCGCTCCCCTCTGGATCAAGCCGATCCGAATGACTGCACAGCTACCCCAGTAGCCCGTGTCGGGTTTGAAAACAAATCTCGCATGAACTCGAAACTCATATCCATGTATACCAACGCTCAAAGTGTACTTTCTAAACTGGACGAACTCCGTATCCATACCTACGGCCTCCATCCAGATGTTATCTCAATAACAGAAACATGGTTGTCCGAACAGGTTGATGATAGAGAGCTCATGCTCCCTGGATTTCAACTGTTCCGCCGAGACAGAGAAAACAGAAGGGGTGGAGGCATAATAACATTTGTTAAG